ACATCTGTCTCTCTCCTACTTGAGTGAGCGATGCGTCCGCGTGGACAGCTGCTATACAATAATACATTTCCATTTACCTCCTTCTCTATATCCATACAAAATATCTATCAAACAAATAAAATTAAAATTTTCTTTTGAAAAATGAAACCATTCTATCAGTATTTTCTTATGACGTTATCACGTTCAATTATCGTCAGTAAACCGACTTTACAGACAACCGATTTTTTTTTTCAGTTTGTGCCGGAAAAGTTTTAAGCTAAATTTTCCCACATCTTTGAACCGTTGGATACCTGTGCCAACTACAAAGTGTAGGTGATAAACGACATTGTCGTACGCAGTGCACAACTTGTGGTTTATAGTTACACGATGACAAATTGTTCTGGAGTAAGATAATGCAGTTTTCTTTAACGTCGTTGCCTCGCGCGTAAATGTACCATTGATCTTTATTGTATTGTTCATCCTTTTCCATCCCCTTTTTTTAAGTTGCTCTATGTCGCACTTTTGTCAATAAACAACAAAACGCGTTCGGAATTCGTCACCCCTGTTCGCTGCCTCTTTTCGTAACGATTTTATTACATCTACAACGATAAAAACGAGAAACAGTTGCCGAAATAAAGGTTAATATCTCAAACAGCGGGTGCTACTCTATGAGCAGCACTTTATATTTACGTATATTGCTAAGAAATGACAAATGAAATGTGTAAAATTGCGAAAAAGTTGTCAAGTAATAAAGAAGACACATTTTTCTTTTTTATGCCAAAAATCCTTTTTCATCTTAGTTGTATGTCTCATAGATGTATTTATTTTAAATAAGTGCCACAAAAGTCCCTGTCCTAATACCTACTGTATCACAAAGATGTATAATTTATTCTAATTATCATAATATAAAATTGGTTAACATATGTAATTAATAATACTTTGAAGTCGCCCTTACAACATTCGCTATATTTTTCTGTGTTGTGTTTGAACCATTTATAAAGCCATATTTTTGATAACCAATAACAATTTTGCTCTAAAAATTGTTGTACAACTAATAATAAGGTTTAAGAAAATATCTTTATGAAATGGTTAAAGTTGAAGTACTTTCTTGCTTGCGGTTGCACCCTTAGATATATAGAAAACAAATGTTTTGTTGTTTGTCGAGATTGTTACCCTAATCTAAGGGAATATGTTGTTCAGATAGATGTCTGTCTAATGATGATGCCCTTTAGAACTTTGCCAATGTACTCTGGATGCTGTGTGAGAAGCAGACATTTCCTTATTCCCGGAAGGAGAATGTGCTCACGTAATTAAATTAAATTTGTAGCATTATATACTCACACTGCATATTTAAAACATAACTTCCGCTTCAATAATCTCGTCTTAAGATATGGTTATTGCCAATTAGCCAGAGGCTGATTTCTTCTTTTGGTTCGTCCATATTTTTGTGCGATTAGCTTTAATTTTCTGTTACATTAAGTAAAAACTACATTTGTTTACAAGACCCTGGGTTCCATTTCCTAGCTTGCAATTACGTATAAATAATTAGTTCTAAGGATGAGTCTACAAAAATTGCCGTCGTGAATTAATTATAAAAATAACACGCAGGTGTTTACCTACTATGCGTTCGATTACATAATAATACCAACTTTCTACGTTTATTTGGCTCAAACGGTTGTTTCTTTAAATTGCATGGACCTTTTCGTCACAAAAAGTTAAATATTACTTTCACTTGTTTTGTCGACATATAGACCAAATCTATTGTAAAAAAAATATAATGTGGTAATAAATGAAATCATTTGTTAAGAAATGAAAAAATTAGATGCNTTTGACAGCTGCCAATCCTTACTGGACAAATATACCACTGTAATTAACAAAAACTCATTAAATCTGCCAAAATTACAATCGCCCTGCTTATTGTAAAACTTTTCATTATTTTATGTATTGTACGAGTTCATCGCTCAGTCTTTTCATTTCCCTTTTTAATAACAAAACAATAGCAAGGTATAACGTTTTTGCAGAGAAATAAGACATCTATCTGTTGTTTTTCTTTTTCTTTTTTTTTTATCGTGCTCCCTTTTTTCTCGTTAATGTTCATCTTTTCCGTAACCGCCAACGGCTCTTTCATTTTGTCGCATATCCATTTGAAAAGCTTGCAGCCGTCTACTTGAAAATTACTGTAATTTTCTTTCAATCTGCTTCCTTTTGTTCCCCAGGGAAGTTGGCGAGCCGGCCTCCAGTTTATACCACTTTAATAAGGGCACATACCGATTCTTTCCCATCTGAAACGTTTCATAGTACCTACTAATTACGACGGCTTCTTTATTTACTCAAATCTCAAATTAGACGATTTAGTAGAGGATGATAATTGGAATTCAAGAATAAAATGTATCATATAACCTTAAACAACCTATTTTAAGGGTTACCTTTGGTAATCTGCTTCATCTTACAACATTAGTGGAAGTTTTTCCAATTGGGATACTTATTACGTATTAAAAATAGCAAAATCGTATGGGATAATTCCAAAAATTAGCCTTTTTACGTACCTTCCACCTCTAAAGAAAGTTTTTCCTACTTCTCTTTTCTTCCTTACTTGCTCCCACACAAGGTATCATGTCGAAGGTTACTAAAGCAACCCCTACTGTAACGTGTCTTGTGTCAATCTAGCACAGTATGTGTTTATGAATAGTATTATTTATTACAAGACTGTGTGAGTGAATTCTGTAGATGTTAGGTCAAAAAATGAGTTCATTGGCGACCTCAGACCAAGGTAGGTACATGGTTTATTGTTGTAATGAATCAGAACTAGAACTTCCTTGAGCGAATTTACGTACTGTACAGTTCAAGGTTCGTAATGCGGTGGGAACTGGTGTGCGACCTACTCTAATGAAAAGACGGTTCCTTGTTCCTTCCAAAAGGTTCTTCTATACATTCGAGTATTAAGGACCGAGTTATTCGTAAGTGAGCGTCACCGTCATGTCTGAGTCGTGTTATAGTGTTTAATAATTCGAAACGGAACGAACGGTTTTATTTTAGGAGTAGTCGGGACTTTAAAAAGGGGTTGAAATGTGGTAGCAGACGGCTGCTTACGATGAAAACGATGCTACTTAAAATTATTTACCGCGAAGTGTGATGAAAAGCGAAGGCAAACGGTGCCTAAAATCTTAAGTTGTTACACTCTGTTGGAACTTTGGTTTTATATCTTGTTTTGTTTTCATGTGTGTTTTGGGAATATTTTTCACGGGAAATTCGGTAAGAAACAAACGCCTACCTATATTCTAAAGAAGGAAATACTTATAATCAACATTTAATATCATCAATTGTTTCCTTTTAATGCCATGAAAAAAATTCGCGTGTTTAAGCTCTATATTTATCTTTTCGTTTTTAGTTATGTAGGAAATACTTGTACAAAGAATATATCTATCAATTGAAATACACCGAGAAAGAGTTTTGCAAACATTAAAAACACTTTTGAGTGCTTTTTAAATGAAAAGAATGGTTCACACCTATTGTGTATCATAGTGTGTCTTATATGGAGGAAACTGATTACTACACAAGAGCTTTTAAAATGTTTCGGCATAATAATGCTACCTTCTAGTGTGTGAATACATAATGTACCATAGATATTATAATGTGCTACCCTTTGTAAGCAAATTTTCCAATATTAGAATGTAATGTGAATACAGGTACCTACATTTACATTTTCTTAATAGATGCATTCGTACGTAAGAAAAATAAATTAGTTAAGATGAAGTGTCGGATAAGAAGGGCTGGGGGTTGGTTAGTTTACCCTAAAATAGCTCACCCCAGACTTCATGGCAATGGAATGTATCTCTCTCATCTGCAGTAATATTTAATTGCAGTTACATCAAAAAATAATAGCATTAATCCGTCTTATACCTAATGCAGTTTATAGAAGCAACTTTTATAATTATAGAGAGTAAAATTAAATAATTTTCTTTTTTAATAATAATACATACATACACATCAGCATTGTTAAATAGTAGAATATTCACACATTTATGTACATATTTTGATTTGTACTTCATCTTTGAATATACAAATTACACAATTTGCTATTTTTTGGAAGAAAAACACGCTAACGTGGGCCGTCTTCATCTTCCCAAATGAATGTCTATTTCTTTTTTTGAGATTTGGGATAAATGACGATGTGTAATGTAATCTAAACTAAAAAGAACTAAACGAGAAATCCGGTTCTAGTAGTACAAATTACCCAGTAAACTAAAAGTGCGTGGACACGTACTTACAAATAGCAGCGTCTACACGAAAGTCAATAAAGAAGTAGAATAATTTGCTTTTTTGCTTGTTTAATAGCGTAATATACGTATAATTAATGTACATGAGTACGTTTGTTATTTATAATTACAGGCAGTAACAAGATCATTTAGTTGCAATTTTGCTGGTAGAGAAAGTTAGTAAGTAAGAACGGTGTAAGTGTGTCGGATGATGTATGAATTATAAATTATTGGATGTTTATTTCTACCTACTTTGTTTCATTTAAGAATTATAAACCCCGATAAAGTAGTTCACTGTTATACATATAAAATTATGTTATATGTATATCTAAACAGGCATTAATCTGACAGGTAGCACATTTGACAGAATTGGTGATCTATAAAAATATGTCATGCCATCAGATGGGGGTACGAAATATACATCGATATAATTTCTTGTCATCCAGGCATTGACGTATCGATGTTAATTTAACCGATGTGTAACATCCTGCCTTGCATATTATTCTGAAAATATTATCCTTGTGGACTATTTGTCGCCTGTGAGACAGTTTGCCAAAAGGAATTTTGTGAATTCGTTTATGTAACAAACCGTAAAAGGTGAATAATGTGACCTAGTTTTTAACACAAAATAGTTCCTTCCAATTATTCATAAAAGCATAGCAAATAACAATAATTATTATTACACTGTACTAATGTGTTGTGTCGCAATATGCGATTTTTTTACGCGGAACTTTCACTTTCAAACATCTCATAGATTAATGAGTTGAGCAGTATATAGTCATTAGATAATCTTGGAGTTTGTGTCAATCTCATCGTTAGTTGAAGTGAAGGTTTAATAAATGCTGTTATCTATCGATTTATTGTTGTTGACCTCCATTTCCGGAATGATTAATAATAATCAGATACTTAGGTCTTTTCTTATATGTATAAGGTCGTGATACTCATTGAGTATTGGCGAAATGGACCACACATACGCGAAATATAAACTTTATTTAAATTTAAATAATGAGTTGTAGATTTTATACGTTACTTCTTATGTAAAATACATTGTTCTATGTATAGTAATGCATTTGGGGTTGCTTGACGTCCATTTTTAATGAGCGTCACTATCAGTTAATTATTATCAGTGTGTGCACACAGATTTGCTTATTCATTTATCAGAATCAAATGGTCATTATTGCCCGTGATAATTTTCAATATTCCACCCTCCAATATTTACATTTCGATGTCAAATGTCATTAAGTGTTCACAGTGATATGCACCGCTATAACAGGGATTAACATAGTTTCGTGTTAGGTCCTAATTTTCACATTAATGTCAGTTGCATTAGGGTTATACGACCAATTAATTGTATCACATTGCTCTTTCATTTTTGTTTATGACATGTTGAAATGTAAATTAGCGGCGCACTGAAAATAACAATGTATTTTAATTTGAGAAATGTCCAAATGATATATGTTAAAAATGTGGTATTAGCGGTATCGTAAACAGACTTATATAGGGTCATCATCATAAGGTCATCAGTCCTAAGACTGGTTGGACACGTACCTCCACTCTTTCCTATCCTGAGCTAAACTTCGCATTTCCCTAAAACTAGAACATCCCACATCCTTAACTATTTGCGAACAGTAATCTAATCTAGGTCTACCTCTACCCCTCCTAACTCCTGTTTCTGCCTCTAATATGTCTCTGACTAGACCTTCAT